TCAGGTAAAAGTGTCCTCCTTATGGCTTGTTTACACGGGGACGAATATCGTGCGCGATTATCGCCGACATTTAACGCCTCGTGACTAAACAAAGGGCGCCAATGTGAGTGTGCAAAACGCGCAAAACGCGAAGCGTAATTTAAAAAAAAACGCCTCGGGCTCGTTTTTTTGGTTTGACGGCCGCGTTAAAAACTGGCCGACCAATGAGATTGCCGCTTTTGTTCACGTGCCTGGAGCTGCTGAAGTTACATTTAAAACACGACTTGGTGGCGCTCAAGCACAAAACGGTCTTGCCGAGCACACATTGATACCTAACGACAAAGAGGAAGTAAGTAGACCAAGAAGATGCATCGAGGCAAGATGAATGTAGAGCTGCTGGTCTCATTGGTGTCTGCCAGCGAAAATCGCTTGGGTATGAACACAAAAGACGCGTCGAAAAACGTTGGCGATAAGCGTGCGCGATAATCGTCCCGGTGTGTACGAGGCTTTAGTCTATTAAAGAGGTCATAACATGGATTTTTTAAATGATTATTTTAATAGGTTCCTTGAGGTTTACTTATAATGTTAATAAAGTTTTTCTGCACAAAACAACAACAACAAAAAACAAACAAACAAATAAATATGTGGGAAAATTATTTTCAACCCTCATTCTGAACCTCTCTCAGAAACAGGCTGTTTTTAAGGGGCGTGTCCTTTAAGGCTTCTCAGGAATCTGCCACTGTTATGATTGGCTAACGTCATTGCATAGGAAACAGTATCAACTCCCCCTCACTATTGCATGTTTTGTGTGTTTTGACAACATAATCCAAATAAAACAGTCATTTCCAGACAAAGCATTATTAAAGGGTTAGTTCACCCCAAAATGAAAATTCTGTTATTAATTACTCACCCTCATGTCGTTCCAAACCCGTAAGACCTTCGTTCATCTTCGGAACACAAATTAAGATATTTTTGATGGAATCTGAGAGCTGTCTGACCCTCCATAGACAGCAACGTAACTGTAATGTTCCCAGGTCCAGAAACGTAGCAAGGACATCGGTAAAACAGTCCATGTGACATCAGTGGTTCAACTTCAGCTTTGCGAAGCTACGAGAATACTTTTTGTGTGCAAAGAAAACAAAAATAACGACTTTATTCAACAATTCTTCTCCCCCGAGTTTCTGTCTTCCGCCATTTTGGAGAGTATCCCAAAGCATACGCACACTTTACCCTAAGCGTAAACAACGCTTATTACACCGATTACGTTCATGCGCGCGCTTCTTGTTACGCTATCATTGACTCAAAAGTGCTTCGAGCTGATGTCAGTTTTAAATGTAGAAGTAATCAGTACCTTACATTATAATGGGCTAAGAGTTACACTTGCTGTACCCATGTTAAGGTCTTAAAAATACAATCAAGTCCAAGGCTCAGTGTGGAAAATGGTAGTAAAAGGTAATTTATTATTTTAATATATTATTATTCATTAAATCTCATTTAGATGTGCCGTGTTCATTGTCACGTCGGACACAAAAATGGCGACGAGCATTGCAGAATTGACATCTTCGGTACTCAATATTATTGCACTGATTGGCTGTTAGCTTTGAGCAGAGTGCCAGTCAATGCACTGGAGAAAATAGAAACCGTAAAATGCTTTTTTTTTTTAATAAATAAGTCCAAAAAACTCAACCCGCGGGGTTGTACAACTCATGGGATTTATTTAACGCAACTTAACAAAAAAAGAAGCCCAAAGTTTCGTATTCTGGACAATATTTGCGATTGACAATTTAAATTCTGCTCTGCAACTCACACAAAACTTGTATTGAATCGGAGAGAACTGCAACTGCAAAGCATCTTCATTTGGACTACTTTTGGTACTGCTTTTGGGCCTGTTTACACCTGGTCAATTCATGCGTTTTCGTTGATTGGATATCTATCTGATTTGTTAAAATGTTTCCATTTACACTTGGCCACATAAATGTGTCGTCGCAAAACGGATATAAATCCGATCTTCAATTCCCGCGCTATATTTAAATTTAACGGAGTTCACGTCAAGTTCACGTCAACGAAATCAAAAGATAAGCGCTGCATTTTATTAATTATCAGCTCATTTCAAGATCAAAGACCGCAATAGGAGAGAGCGCGCAGCATCAGCACTGGAAAGATAGGTTTGTCTTACTACTTTTAATGAAGATGATTGTGTGTTGACCGTCTGCGTCTTACTGTTTCATTCGGCTTGCTGAAGAGATACTCAGCTACTCGTCCGCGGCGATGCATGTTGCAAAATTTACATATGTGGTTTCAACAATCAGATGCATTTACACTGGTCCAGTTTCGTCTGGAATGCGGCGGCCCAGACCACCTGTTGAAGTGGTTTGAGCGATCTGATTTATATCCGTCTCGAATGCGTTTCGGAGGGCATTTACACCTGGTCTTTTCATGATCGGATTGCTATCCGATCAGACAAAACACATGAAGTGACCAGGTGTAAACAGCCCCTTTGACATTGGCAATAATTAAATAATTGTGATTTGAGTTGGCTGTCTGTCATGTTTTTCTTTATAATGCACATTTTTAAGAGATGGTTACGGATGTATCTAGACTAGAGCAGGGGTGCCCAACCCTGTTTCTGGAGATCTACCTTCCTGCAGAGTTCAGTTCCAACCCTGATCAAACACACCTGTCTGTAATTATCAAGTGCTCCTTCAGATCCTAATTAGTTGGTTTAGTTGTGTTTGATCAACTCTGCAGGAAGGTAGATCTCCAGGAACAGGGTTGGGCACCTCTGATTTATTGGTTACTAAAATAGTAATTTCCATGCATATTTCCGTCTATTATGTTTTATATCGTTATATATTGAATATTCATAAAATGGCTATGTTTAGGTTTGGGGGTAGGTTAAGGGGTCTAAAAATTTAAATCATTTATCGATAAAAATGTATTGATACACATATTTGATATAATTGATTAATAAATATTTTACTTTTTAGCTGTAAATATGTAGTAATTTTATTTTTTAAACTGTGAAATACGTGCAAATTTCATGTTTCGGCATCAATCAACGAAGTCAAAAATGTATGTTTTATTTTTTTTAAAAGATCACGCTGGGAATGCAGCATTAAAGCGAAACCTGCTGCAGTTTGAGTCATTGATGTAAATAAAAAAAAGAAAGAGAAAGACTGAGAAATCAACCACTGCTCTGTTCTGCTCGCCGATTAACTTTTGTAGCTTGAATAAAGATCACTATATTCAATTTATAGTTTATACATAAATTATACTTTGTGAATGTTTTTATGTTCACTATTTTTAAAAGCCTAATAAATGTTAAAAATCATGGCTTTCAGTGATACTTAATAGTGCTGAATTGCTATAATTAATGGCTAAATTTGAGGGGAAAATGTGATACAAAAACAGCTACTGGTCTCTTTATTAATGACAATGGCCTTCACTAACAATAGGCTACTTGGGGGGAAAAAGATGCCATTATACAATATATTTTAAATACACAATTTTTGTTGTTTCTATATTAATTTGGAGATTCAATGTGAAATTATAACAATATAATGCTATTTTTTTAATATGCAATTAATTACTGATAACTTGCAATTAATAAGTTAATGTGTTTAATCAATAGACAGCACAAGTCTAAATGTTTGAATGTCTGTCTCTTTGTGCCATTAAACTTGTATTTGTCTCTTTTCACCTCAGACCCGATGGCGCTGAAAGAGGAGAGTCAAGAACTGAATGAAACGGAAGAGAGAGATCAAAATGAAAAACAGCATGATTTCAAAACTGAAGAAAAATCGATTGGTTGCTCACAGACTGAAAAGACTTCCTCACCAAAAAAAGCTCAAAAAACACAAACTACAAACCTTAATTCCCACTTAATAATTCACGCTGGAGAGAGCTCTTTCACCTGCCAACAGTGTGGAGAAATTTTCAATCGAAAAGAAAGCCTTAAAGTCCACATGAAAACTCACATTGAAAAGAAATCGTTCATATGCTCTCAGTGTGGAAAGAGATTTGCACATAAATATCACCTTAATGTCCATATGAGAATTCACACTGGAGAGAGACCTTACACCTGCGAAGAGTGTGGGAAGAGTTTCACACGTAAAGGAAACCTTAAGACTCACATGAGAATTCACACTGGAGAGAGACCATTCATATGTGATCAGTGTGGAATGTATTTTACGCATAAAAAAACGCTTAATGTCCACATGAAAACTCACACTGGAGAGAGACCTTACACCTGCAAACAGTGTGGGAAGAGTTTCAAACGAAATGGAGATGTTACGTCTCACATGAGAGTTCACACTGGAGAGAAACCATTCGTATGTGTTCAGTGTGGAAAAAGTTTTAAACAGAAAAGACTCCTTAATTCCCACATGAGAATTCATACTGGAGAGAGACCTTTCAGCTGCAAACTGTGTGGAAAGAGTTTCATATGTAAAGAAAACTTTAGGACTCACATGAGAGTTCACAATGAAGAGAGACCGTTCATATGTGCTCAGTGTGGAAAGAGTTTGAGATATAAAGAAAGCCTTAATTATCACATGAGCACTCATTCAAGAGAAAACGGTTTTAAATGTCATCAGTGCGAAAGGAGTTTCTCAGACACGAATCGCCTTAAGAATCATGTTCAAATTCACATCGGAGAAAAGCCTTTCTTGTGCCATCACTGTGGAAAGAGTTTAAAAAACACTGCAAACCTTCAGAAACACGTAAGAGCTCACACTGGAGAGAAACCTTTCACCTGCAAACAGTGTGGAAAGAGTTTCGCAGTAAAAAGGAACCTAAAGATTCACATGAGAGTTCACACAGGAGCGAGACCTTACAAGTGCCTTCATTGCGAGAAGAGTTTCAAGTATCTAAATGAACGGAATCATCATTTACAAACTCATTCTGGGAAGAAATTGCCGTTTTCCTCAGAGTGACCAGGTTTAGAAAAAGGAGCGATTTCTTTCTAATTTCTTCAGATAATTACAGGTATGGAATTACGTTAAAAGTAATATCCCAATTAAAAACTTAGAATTGCCCTGAACATCATTATCTTTGTATGGCATCTGAAGTCAAATTGAAGGGTCTTGTTTCTAGATTTGTTGAATATTTCAATGACTCAAGGGTTACTCCCACAAAATTTGAAGATGTCCTGGGAGAAAGACCTAGGTATATATATTTCAGAAGACACTTCTAGACATTAGGTCGTGTTCCATCAGCTCATTCAATATAAAGTTGCAATATGATTGCATTATTCTCACACCAGGTTAACAGACGTGTCAAGGAATTTGGCTACAGTTGTCGTATTCCTCTTGTTAAGCCACTCCTGAACCACAGACAACGTCAGAGGCGTCTTACCTGGGCTAAGGAGAAGAAGAACTGGACTGTTGCCCAGTGGTCCAAAGTCCTTTTTTCAGATGAGAGCAAGTTTTGTATTTCATTTGGAAACCAAGGTCCTAGAGTCTGGAGGAAGGGTGGAGAAGCTCATAGCCCAAGTTGCTTGAAGTCCAGTGTTAAGTTTCCACAGTCTGTGATGATTTGGGGTGCAATGTCATCTGCTGGTGTTGGTCCATTGTGTTTTTTGAAAACCAACGTCACTGCACCCGTTTACCAAGAAATTTTGGAGCACTTCATGCTTCTTTCTGCTGACCAGCTTTTTGAAGATGCTGATTTCATTTTCCAGCAGGATTTGGCACCTGGCCACACTGCCAAAAGCACCAAAAGTTGTTTAAATGACCATGGTGTTGGTGTGCTTGACTGTCCAGCAAACTCACCAGACCTGAACCCCAGAGAGAATCTTGTATTGTCAAGAGGAAAATGAGAAACAAGAGACACAACTGATCACCTCCATGCCACGCCGAATTAGGGCAGTAATTAAAGCAAAAGGAGCCCCTACCATGTATTGAGTACATGTACAGTAAATGAACATGCTTTCCAGAAGGCCAACAATTCACTAATTTTTTTTTTTTATTGGTCTTATGAAGTATTCTATTTTGTTGAGATAGTGAATTGGTGGGTTTTTGTTAAATGTGAGCCAAAATCATCACAATTAAAAGAACCAAAGACTTAAACTACTTCAGTCTGTGTGCATTGAATTTATTTAATACACGAGTTTCACAATTTGAGTTGAATTACTGAAATAAATGAACTTTTCCATGACATTCTAATTTATTGATGTACCTTGATGTATAAAATGTAAGTCCAACGAGAGAACGTTGGGTCATTTATTTTGGTTCTGTCCAAAAATGTATAAGTTCTTGTGTGAAGTGTTTTGTTTTTATTCAAGGGTATTTAAAGGGTTAGTTCACCCAAAAATGAAAATTAGGCTGTTTTACTCACCCCAGAGCCATCCTAGGTGTATATATGACTTTCTTCTTTCAGACGAATCCAGTCGGAGTTATATTAAAAATTGTCTTTGATCTTTCAAGCTGTTTAATGCCACTCAGCGGGTGTTGCATGCATCAGTCCAAAAGAAGTTAAATAAAAAGCGCCCATCCATAAAAAAAAGTGTCTCACACGGCTCCGGGGGGTGAACAAAGGCATCCTGTAGCGAATCGATGCGTTTTTGTAAGAAAAAAATCCATATTCAAGACGTAATAATCACTTTAATGTAGCTTGCACCAACAGTTGTACACAGAAGCAGCTCCGGGAGCATGACGTATGAGGTCAGCGTTGCGCATGCGCCGGTGAGTCTCGTGAAAACCAACGTTTGTTAACAGGAGCAAAGGAAGCAAAGTTTCCTTACTTTAGCAAAGGAAAACCAGTCTCCTCTCGGCTTATATC